GAAAGCTGTTTTGATGGCAAGACAAAAGGACACTAATGAAGAGGCAGTCTTCCATGTTTGGCTCAGAACACTCTTGTTCCATTTATTTGAATGTACCCTTTCACTTCTGGTGATTTTTACAGGGTCGTACATATTGTTTATGGCACTTAGCTGATTTGGGTCCTGTTTTTAGCTGGGGAAGCATCTGAAGATTCATTTGCTAATAGGAAATTGGTGAATGGTGGTCATTAGGGAAAGGATGCTGTTCTCTCTATGAACCAGATTACAACGGAGAGGATTCCTACACTGTCTTTTTGATGGATGAAAGATCATCTCCTCCTAGTGGAGTGTCTCACATTTATTCTCCACTCACACACTGACCCCAAATCATGTCAGTCCGACAGACGTTTGTTTGGTTTTGATGATGTGCAAGGCATCAACACTACAAGAGTACAAAAAGAGAGTTGTGCGGTGAAGGCAGTATATTGTGGGGGCCACACACATTTCTGGGGCAGAGTGCTATGTTCAAATCTTTATACTGAAACAGACTTAATCTCCTTTGACTTGTCTGTATGTGGACTGTTGAGAATCACAGGTTGCTGTTAACTTGACAGTCTGCAAAACATGGAAAACAGAGCTGAGCATATGGAAAGACTCCACATGGATTAGTTGGCGGCCTGCTTTGACTTTCTGATGAGTATTCTTTCTCACTGGACCAGAAGCTCTAGTCTGAACTATAGTTACAGTGATTTCTCACTTAGATTTTGCTGGTTCTCTTCTATGGAAAGACTAGCAATCTATTACTCATGTCTTGGGCCTCAGAAATCTATGACGTCAGCCCCAGACCAGCTTCTGCTGCACAAACCACAAGTCCAAGACTCCCTGGTGTCCATTTCCAGGTTCACACACTAAAGTCACGTTCCATGTACCATCAACAGCTGAGGCAGCTCTCTTTTGGAGACTGTAAATTGAACCTTCAGTAACACCCTTTGGTAGTTTTCTTGTGAGCTTAGTATTTTCAGCTCTGGTTCCAGCACCATTCAACTGTGAGAATCTATTCTATGTCCACTGAAACTTTATCTCAACAGAACTGTTGAAGCTGTGATAAACAACACTGAGTCGAAACCCTCTGGTGCCACGCTTTAGAAATTAAATAGATAGGTTATTAAATGAGATGAAGAATCACTCGAGTATTCTCCATGAGCAGCTCAAGGGAGTAAATCTAACAAGCAGAATTTTAATAAGAGTATTGAATATCAGTTTTTGCATGTGAATACCAAATATCCAAGTCCCCGAGTACAGAGTAAAGAAAATAATAACGTGCATGAAAAAGTTTAACTTTTATCTGATGATGAGTTGAATTTTAGTCTGAACTAGAATGAATACATGACTACTCAAGTAAACTGAATAACTTCCCACTGCCAAATATCCAAGACCACCCGGATAACCCTGGCCTCCCCTTCATATAGTGATAGACACTATAGATGTTAGATCAAGGATCTTAGGCTGGAAAGATGGTTCATTGAGTCATGCATTTGCCACACAAGAATGATAGCCTGACTTCACATCCATATCTATCTTATAAAGATCCAGGATTATGCAAGTCTATGATCCTAGAACCCTGGAGCTCATTAGCTGCCAAAGTAGCAGAATTAATGAGCTTCAAGTTCAAAGAAAGATCCCAGTCTCATAAAATAATATGGAGAGAGACCAAGCAGTTACACTAACCACCGGTCTCCACATGTGCATGTACATGCAAATGTACACTTGCACTTGTGCACACATAAACACACATACACACACACACTCAAATACACACGCCAGATATAAATATACAAAGGAAAGAAAAGAAAGGATCTTGGGAGAGAAACATTCTACTGGGTTATTTCCAGGGAGGCTTTGATTGTAGCTTTTATGAGAATTTTTCTTATAATGAGGGTTAAGAGGGTTTAGCTACAAAAGAAAGGCAGAATATCCTAAGAACAGAATGGGGTCAGGAAAGGCCATGGGACATATAGTGGGTGCACAAACAACACAGGTGGCTTCTAGGAGTTAGCCCTATCAGGATCGTTTTGGACTTCTAGGGACACACTCTGGTGTTATGTTAAGCCAAGAAGGTTTGTGGCTGTTTGTTATCACAGTTATATGAAATTAATATAGACTGAAACTCCATTCCAGTTGGACCACATTTGGTGAACAAATTCCACAGGGTCATTTGCATTAAGCACATTAGAGTGACTCATTATCATAGAAGAGTTTCAAGTCATGTCATGAGAAGAATTTTGGACATAGCTGATTTTACTTTAGAAGCAGTAACGATGCTCAATCTCAGAGATGTTGAGCGCCATCATTTCAGACTTCTCCTGAATGTTCCCAAAGGGCACAACTAGTTGTTTATACATTTATTGGTATGATTACTGATTTGATGTCTTTCTCTACCACATAGAACTAAATTTCATGATGACATAAGACAAATAGAATATATGTATGAAAAAAAATACCACAACAGGTGTGGTGGCTCATACTGGTAACTACAGCACTCAGGAAGCAGAGTCAGGCAGATTGCTGTGAGTTTGAGACTAGTCTGCATAGCCTACTGGTCTACATAGGGAATTCTACACTAGCCTGGACTACAGAGTACAACCCTATGTCTAAGTGCCAGAAGGAAGAGGAGGAGGAGGAGAGGAGGAAGAGGAGGAGGAAGAGGAGGAGGAAGAGGAGAAAGAAGAGGAGAAGGGTGAAGAGGAAAGAAGAAGAAGAGGAAAGAAGAGGAGGAGGAGGAGGAGGAGGAGGAGGAGGAGGAGGAGGAGGAGGAGGAGGAGAAAGAGTGAAAAACAAGAGCCTGACAAATATAGACGTGGATGCTTGCAGCCAACCATTGGTCTGAGCAGCACAGAGAACCCGATGGAGAAGTTAGAGAAAGGATTTAAGGAGCTGAAGGGGTTTGCAACTCCGTAGGAAGAACAACAATATCAACTAACCAGAACCCCCAGAGCTCCCGGGAGTAAACCAGCAGCCTACATATGGAGCCACCCATGGCTCCAGCTCCATATGCAGCAGAGGATGGCATTATCGGGCATCAGTGAGAGGAGAGCCCCTTGGTTCTGTGAAGGCTCCATGACGCAATGTAGGGTAATGCAGGTGGTGGGGTGAGGCGGGAGTGGGTGGGTGGGTTGGGAAGCAATCTCATAGAAGCAGGGGGAGGGGTGATGGGATAAAGGGTTTCCAGAGGGGAAACCGGGAAAGGAGATAACATTTGAAATGTAAATAAATAAAATATCCAATAAAAGAAAGAAAAGGAAAAAGGAAAAGAAAGTAAGAGATGGGGAAGGAAATGAGGAAAGGATCAGGATACAGGCTGATGTGATTTAAATGTGTCCCGGGTTCATGTGTGGAAACTCACCAAATCTGTGTATGGTCCTACTACAGTCAGGGTCTGTGCAGATGCCTTGTGTTACCCATATCTTGTGTTACAATCTAACACTAGGAAGAGAGGAGATTGTTTCCCTCTTCCTAATAGGTCAAAGAAAGAATGGATGCCCATGCCTTGTGTTACTACTGAAGACCATGAGATGTTCATGGTCTGTGCTGCAGCCTGAAGCATGGTGATGTCTATGGACAGGCTGCCACCAGGGCCCATACTAATCTAAGTGTCCTATGCTGCCACCTGAGGCCATGATGATGCCTGAGGTCGAGTCTTTGTCTGGATTTGTGGTCCTCCTGCACTGGGGATGGGGGGCATGTTCATGTTCTGTGGTGTTACCAGAAACCTTGAGGAGGTCTGTGATCCATGTTCCCCACTAACTGTGAAGGGCAAGGGGACTAGTTATGCTGGGATGTTGATGACTGCAGATGTACAATTGAGAGAGAGGGACATGGAGGACTTTTGTGACAGCTCCTACCCCTGTCTCCAAAGTAATGGTATAGAAAAGGAATCCAATGAAGAGAACTATTTAAAAGTGTGGTGCAGATGCTGAAGTGTCAGCCTCCACAATTAACGTCTTTGGGATGTTGGGGAGGAAAGACTCAGTTCTACTTGAGGGTCAGGCTGCTGAGAATTTGACCATGCTTCAGTGAGTATATAGGTAACACAAATTGGAGTTGTTTATTTTAATTTTTCTATTTTTTTTAATTCTTATTTTTACTTTTCCTCTTTTGGGGGACAAGTGACAAGGGTGGGGGCAGACATGGAAAGACTGGGAAGTGAGTGTGATTGGGGTGCATGATATAAAATTCCCAGATAGTCAATAAAATATTGTGTTGAGAAAACGGTATTTGGAGGTGGGGGTCTTTGATTAGGAGCAGAAGATGTCATGGGGTTAGGGTCTCTTTGATGACATTATCAGTTTTATGAAGAAAACGGACTCGGGTACTATGCCTTGCCATGTGGTGCCCTTGACTCTACAATGACACAAGAAGGTTCCTACCAAATAGTGATGTCATAGTCTAGGACTTCCCAACTTCTATAACTGTAATAATTAAAATCTTATGAGTTAGTGAGTCATAAGTGTTTTTCATTAGAACAGTAAACAGATTAAAACACCGAGTCAGAAAAAATTTATTCTATGCTCTGAGAATTAGATGATAAAGGAAGTTGTAACAAAGACAGTTAGTAACCCTGGCTTTGGTATCACAGAAGATTGTTTCCCTCTTCCTAATAGGTCAAAGAAGGAATGAGTGTTCCGAGGTGAATGCTGTGCTAAACAGGCCTTTGCTATGTCTGAGTATCCACATTTCTTCTACCTCACTGCCTTGCTATGTTTGAAGATGGTGTTCTTGGCCCTGTGACTGACCTTGGTTCGTGTCTACACTTAGATTCCATTTGGTGGAGAACATAAAGAGGCAGACAGCTCGCTCACCCAGGGATGGCACAGAAGCTGCACACAGACATGTTCAGCTCATTCCCTTGGCAGACTACCAGCTACAGGAGGGTATGAAATAGATTCTCATCAGATTGACGGGAATGTGCCCAGTTAAAATGTGGGTGGTTTACTGATAAAGGAAGAAGAGAGAGCCAGATATTAAGGTCATATCAACAGTTTTATTATCAACTTAAAGAAAGAAAAGTAGCAGAGATTTGTATTCTTTGTTTATTTTTGCTAAGTTATATCTGACTTTCCTTGAATGTTTCCTTCATTTTCTCTTGAAAACAGTGTCCGTGGAGATGAAATCTAAGTTACTTCTAGGCTAGTTCTTATTGTTTCAAAATAATTTACAATAATTTAGTATTCACATACACCAAATTTATTGTCATTAAGTATACTTGTATCGCATTAACTAATATAAATAACTAATATTATTATTATTAATTCTATATTGTTAATAGAGGTTTGTTGACACCGGTTGAGTACGTCTTCCATCCCATGGCATAGACAGTCATTATTCAGAAGTATAAAATTCTGTGAAAGCAGAGATTGTCACTGTGTCAACCATATACTTCAGTAAGGCAGAAGCTATGACTGAATAATTTCATGGTAATGAGCAGAGGTTTATGACAAATGAATCTTGGGTGATGTGCTTTTTGACAAATTCTCTATTCTGAGCTTTGGAGATGTTTAGAAATATATATGTCGTAGTAAATCTGGAACATTTCTATGGTTCTTCCTCTCTTCTCTTTTCATTCCTATCTCCAAGAGATCTTCTAAACCAAGCCTCTTTGATAACTTCTATTTATTTCTTGTCTTTGTCTATGTCATAATCAACTTTGACTTGGGCCATTGTAGAAATGTTTTAGTTAGTCCCTTTCCACTTTCCCTGTCTCCTTAAAGTCTACTGTTCATATAATAGACCAAATGCTGTCTTTATTAATCTGTCGTACCAAGTTTTTTCATGGTCTTCTCACAAGAAACCTCAAGCCTTTCTACTGGCTGTAAAGACTTCTGGTAGTTATTATCAGTTACCACATAGCAAGTTACCCTAAAAATTTACTTCGATCAAACAGCAATAACCATTTTTTTTTTTTTACTTCCCACTGTTTGTGCGAGTCAAATGTTTTGGAAAGCCTTCATTGGTTAGTTGTTATTCCGGCCATCTGCTGAATTGCAACAAAGATGTCAACCTAAATAAAGTGCTTGAACATCTAAGGTTGTCTAACATTGCAGGACCTTTTGGCTCCTGGTAAAAGACCTCAGTTCTCATCACATGAACCTGTCTTTTGGGCTGCTCGATCATACCCACCTGACAGTCTAATTTCCCCAGAGCTGGTATTCAACAGTGAACAAGACAAAAGCCTCCTTGATATCTCTCATGGAAAGCCTTTCTCCATCATTTCTACAATATTCTATTGGGTACATAGGTCACTGCACAGCATGTGATTGTCAGAGGTATTAGTATCCAATCTCAATGACAATTCCTTTCGTCATTATTTCTTAAAGAAAAGGAGAGTTCTTTTCATTGTATTGGTCACTGTAGGTAATCTAGAGATGTCTTGAAGTATATGGGAGACTCGTTTTTTTTGTTCAGATTTTATGTGAATACTTGGTCCTTTTATACAAGACTCAAACATTTGCAGATTTTGGATTTAGAAGAGAATGTTGCTGAGCCAATCCCCTGTGGATAAGAAGGGAAAATAACCTGTCTTTCTCAAGAGCAATGAGTTAAAAAATCAATCCTTTCTTGTTTGTTTGCTTTTAGAAAATATATCCTTATATCCTTCTGTGTCAGTCCAGAATAAAAATTCTATACCTTTATTGCCAGTTGTCAACATACATGCATACTGTATCCTTGATGTCTACTATTACCATGTATTCCCAGTCCAAGTTGTTAAGGAATCCATTGCTTATGGTTATATCTGTTTTAGCTATATATATTGAATTAATTAAAATAATGACAAATAATTAATGCCAGAAGTTCCAGACCACTAAGTTAAGACAGTCATTGTTCTCCAAAAGACAGCTTTTAAAAATCACCTCAAAGGAAGGAACTATGATATTTATATAATTATGCAACATTTCAATAATTATTTGATCATATCCAACTTTTGTATGTGGGCTGGGGATTTGGACTCAGGTCCTCTCGCTTTCACATCACAGTGCCCTATCCCATGAACCATCTTCCCAGTCCCTCTTCTAAATATAAATGTTCTATAAATGAAAGAAGGGTGGCTACACTCTCTGCTTTTATTTACTATAGTGCTTGAAGTTTTAGTTAAAGTAGTATACGCATGTTTAAAAGAGGTCAGCACATCCACTAATAAATGCTGTATTTCTGGTGGAAGACTTTAATAGTCCTTCTAGGAAAAATCAGTGCTGATTTTCATGTTGTAGGAAGGATGAGATCATGACCTGAACCCACTTCTGATCCACAGTGAGTAGCCACATTTCAATCTTTGAGTACCCCACAAAGTATCTGTAAAGGACAGAACCTACCTTGTCATAGAGCCATCAGCAGCCTGGCTAGTAAGACATTTTCTAATATTAAAAAAATCATATCCTTTCATTGCATAAAAATTGACTAATTTGGAAAATTTTAAGAACATAAAAAGTCATTTAGAGATATCAAATATTGCCTTATGATATACTTTCTTTAAATTGTTTTTATGAATGTATATTCATATATATGAAGTATATATTCATATATATATAGTATATATACACACTTTATACATATATACATAAACATATATATATACATACATACATATATATTTATTTATTTATTTATAAAATGTAGGTCATGTTGTTTGTCTTTTCTTCCCATAGAAATAATATATGAAAACACTTTATTGTAATTAGATATTCCCATAATATGGCTTATATTACTATAGACTATTTCCTTGTATCCATGAGTATAATTTACTGAAAGTTTCCATATTATTTTCTCTATTATGGGTTATAATTAATACAAATGACAGATCCTGTATCTCTCTAGAAGCTATTAAAAACTAAAATATTAGGGCAGAAACCACTAATCAATCACTGTTGATGAATAAGCAAGAAATCAGCTTAAAACACATATGAAAATAGTTATTCTTTTGTTTCTGAGAGGATTTTGTTTTGGATAATACACCATGTTTACTTTCTCTTCTCTCTATGTTTCTGTCTATCTTCTCCTCTCTTTCTCTCTTTCTCTCTTCCCCTCTCTCTCTTGCAAATAATATATTGTACAACATTACAAGGGAATGGGTTCTTTACAGATCATGGTTTCTCCCGTAGTCTCCTCTTTCAGTGGGAGCTTTCTCCCCTGATATTGCATCCAGAGTTATTTGATGCCCATGGGCTTTAATAATGAGTCAGGTTCATAATAACAAGATAACTAAACTTTATCTTCATGTGCTATGCTTTAAACATCAAGGCGTAAATGATACAGTCCAGTGTTTCACAGAGATTGGTATGCCTGGCCCAAAGCTCCTCAGATCTTACTAAGATTTAAAATTATGCCCAATCAACACCTCTACAATTCAGCTCCTTTCCCCCCTGCAACCTCCTGATCAGGTCAGTAAAGGAGAAATGTATGCATATACCGGATTCCGTACCACTTACCGATTTTATAATCCAATGGCCTAGGATCCAATTGTCTCAGGGATTCAATAGATATTTCAACACACTCTTCTCTTTGCCTCTGTTGGTAAGGCTGCCAGCATTGCATACTCTCCTGTTTGCCTCTTGTTGGTAGCTCTGTCAGCCTTGCACACTGTCCTCTGTGTCTCCGTTGGTAGGGCTGCCAGTGTTGCCTTGGGGAAGAGGACAGGAATGGAGTCTTTCCTTTCTTTCTCACTGGTCTTTGGGATAGACACTAGATGCTGGCATTGCATACCTCCCTTCTGTGTGTTCATCTCATGATGGGATGCCTGTGGGAGACAGGGTTGTGGACTCTGGCCATTTCTGTTCTCCAGCACCAAGACATCTGGGTTAATATCCTGCTTTCACAAGAAAGTTATGGCTATGAGCAAATTGCTTAACTTCCAAACCAAACTGTGGCCTGATTTCATCATTCTTATAACAAGGATCATGAGAATGGCACTTAATTAGTAACTATATTCAGAAGTGTAACATGATAAAACATGTAAGTAACATAGAACAGTGTTTGCTGGTTAATAAAACTTTATAGATGTCAACACCATTTTTAGAAGGAAAGAACCTCTTCTTAGTTGTTCTTTTCAAAATACAATCTGAAATCTACTTTATGTCTTAATCAATGGATTTATGACTACATTCCATTCCTCCAGTTAGACTTGTGCACCTCTTAAGTCTGGGCTGACAACAGACAAAACAAAAGAATCAGTCTATTATGCATGTAAAGTAATTCATATGCTATGTATACATTTGAATATCGTAATCATTTTAGAATCACAAATAATGTATGAGTTTGTTAGAAACAACTCATCATTAGAGATACAATAAATTAAAAATGATGTGCCTGAGATAGAACTGAATTCAGAATAAACTTGGATCTGGTGACGGTGTAGATTTAGTACAACTAAAAAGCATTGCGTTCTCAGTAGGTGTCGTCTGGATATAGTACACCGTGGATTTTCACGAGATTGATGGATTTCAGGCCAGGGGAGAGATCTGAATGTTTGATAAAAATTATCTTCTTTCATTGAAATCGTATGTGTCTTGGTCAACATTCGAATGCTGTGAACAGACACCGTCACAATGGCAACTCTTATAAGGGAAAAATATTTGATTGTGACTGGCTTAGACTTTCAGAGGTTTAGTCCCTTATTATCCTGGCAGGGAGCATGGCAGCATGCTTCATGCTGGAGCAGTAGCTGAGAGCTACATCCTGACAAACAAGCTGGGGGTGTGGGGAAGGAGAGAGGGAGAGGGAGAGAGAGGGGGGAGGGAGAGGGAGGAGAGGAGAGACAGACAGACAGACAGACAGACAGACTGACTGACTGACTGACTGACAGAGCCTGGCATGGGCTTTTGAAAACCTCAAAACCCACCCCCCAGTGACACATTTTCTCCAACAAGGCCACACCTCCTAATCTTTCTCAAGTAATGCCACTCTTTGATGTCCAAACGTTCATCATTTGAGCCTTCGGGGGACAATTCCTATTCAAACCACCACAGTGTAGTTTGTAAGTCAATTTTTCAGGTGAACATTAAGGCTGTTGAGAGAGAAGAAAAGGAGATAAGTTCTGTCTAAGGACTATTCCAAACAATATTGATACTATGTTATTTACTGTTTGCAGATTGTTTTATCTGAGTATAGGTCTGTGCTCATAGAAGGCAGAAAGATGTCAGAGCCCCTGAAACTGGAGTTTCAGGTGGTGGTCAGCTGCCATATGAGTGCTGGGAATTGAACTTTGACCCCTGGGAAGAGCAACCAGTGCTCTTCACCACTGAGCCATCTCTTCTGGCCTGATATGCTTTTAGACGTTCTAAAATGCAGGTGAGTGAGGACAACTGTATAGAACACAGCACGTTGCATGGTTAAAAAATAAAAGAACCTAACACATCACTACCTAACTACCTCTGAAGAAGTGGAAATGTACTTGTTAGAAGAAGAAGAAAACTTTATTTGGATCTAGTTCTGTGAATTCAACCAATAGCTAAAACTGCTATTTTTCCTCAAAAGAATGAAGGAAAATAAATGCTTATGTCATCTAATTTGGTGCCACAATCTAATTGTCGATTGCCACTAGAGCTTAGCTCTGGGCTAACCCTAGTCTATACACAGTGCTTAAAGTGAGCTCTCTGGCTGTCTGGCTGTTTAAATTAGAGCTCACCTTTGGCTCTCTCTCTCTCTCTCTCTTTCTTGTATTAAACCTGTACTATATGGAAAAAATAAAACCTGATCAAAATAAATACACTTTAAGCTTTAAAATGATATATATAGTGAATTTTTAAAAGATTATATAAATACCGAGAGTTTTGGTCTCAAATGCAAAGATTTATTGCATGTTTTAATCCCATCACACAATCCCTGAGGTATTTTCCTGTTTTTCTGTTAGATTCTTGAATTTAATGGCAACGGTATTGTTAAGGATGAAGTAGACTCCCTGAGACCCTGAAATGAAGAGCTGCAGAATTTTATCATCTCCATGTTGATGTGGAGGTCGTCACTAGAGTCTGTCTCATCTCTTTGATGGTTTCCTCGTTGCCATATGTTTGCTCAACTTAGCCTGGCTTCCACGGTCATGTGTTTCTGAACTTTCAGCATAGCCCATCAATTGTGTTGATTGATGCTTTGATTGTTCTCCTTGAAGAGAACAGGATCTTCTGCCAAGCCGAGCTACACCCTCCTTTCCTGCCTCAGCCCTTGGAAGGAATCCACAGCAATTCCAAGAATCCTTTAAACTAAAATCATTTTGATAGGAGAATTTGGACTTCTACCTTAACTCTTCTTCCATTTACTTTCCTTTTAAGTTTTTATTGTTTGAGAATTTCATACATGTGTACAACATAATCTGATCATATTTAACCCCCATGTCCCTTCTGCACCCATCCACGTGCCCCTCCTTGTCCTCTTGTAACCCACTTTTCTAAGCTCTTGTCACATAGGTAATAATTACATATTTTAAACCATTCTTTTCATCCTTCATCACATTTAACAGTAAAATCGCATTTACTTGTGTCACCGTTAGGGTTCCTATCGCCATGATGGCAAGAGGGCCCATTGCAAAAGGTGTAGCTTCCATAGCAGGGGGAACCCCAGGTTTGAAGGTGTCATGGAGAAAGGCTAAATCTTATGCCAGATACCCTCAAAGAGAAACCAGAGGATGCCATGCTGGAGGTACAGCCCAGTGGAAACCTCAGCACCATAAGATGATGCCAGTATCATAGGATGCGCATCAAAGACAGCAGCAGCTGTGGAGTGGAATGGGCCTGAGCCTAGGGGACAAGTGGCATGTGCTGGGGATGGCCAAGCTAAATAAGAGATGCTGCCATGGCCTTTGGAGTCTAGAAGTTGTGAGTCCCAGAAACCTTACCATTGAATATTACACTATTGGACCTTGATTTTGCTTTGATCTGGTTGTGACTATATTCTGGTTCTTTCCTCCTGGAATAAAGACGTATTTAATTTTTTTTCTTTTCAGGAGACCACAGATGAGAGACACTTTGGAGATTCACAGGGACCTTGATATCTTAGAGAGATATTTCACAGTTCAAACCCCCATTGTCTGTCCTGTCTCAGCAGCTTTGTGATCCAAGGTCACTGCTACAGAAATAGTCTGACCGCTTTTGAGCAGCCATTTCTGTCTTAGATGGTTTCTGTTGGTAAAGGACCATGATCAAAAGCAACTTGGGGAGGAATGGGTTTATTTTCTTTAGCTTTTATGTCCATCACTGAGGGTAGTCAAGGCAGGAACCTGAAGACAGGAATGGGAAGTGCGGGGAGAGAAGCCATGGAGAAGCAGTACTTACTGGTTTGGTACCCACTGCTTGCTCAGCCTGCTTTCTTCTGCCATTCAAGGCTGTTTGCCTAAGGATATCACCACCACCATGGAGTAAGCCCACCCACATTAATCTTCAATCCAAAAACTCAACCACAGGCTTGCCCACTGACTGTCTGCTGGGGCCATTTTCTCAAGTGAGTTTTCCTCTAACCAAATGACTCTGGCTTGTGTCAAGTTGACGTAAAACTGGTCAACATAGCCAGCCTACAACCACAATAATTAAGCCATATGATACCTCACCAAATTATTTACTCTTATATCATCAGATTATCTGTGTTTAAGGCTGTAGCTGATGATTACACACTCCAACCGTCATTATTTATCTGTTTATCCTTTTATTGTCATAATGGCTCCTGAAAGTTACCAAGGTTCAGATAGCACGAGATAGTTAGGGACCAACCGTTTACCTGAGAGGTTCCAGAGTGGATGCATGTCACAGAACTAAGGGGGTCTGGTTAAGACCTTTCTGATCTAGCTGAGGTAAAGGCTTACACCACATCTAAATCCCTCAGAGATCCTCAGCATCTGCTGGCTGATGATGGTCCTTCTGGGGTTGAATAATTATCAGTTACCAAGTGGCCTTGCAAGTCAAATGTGTTCTTTTGTTTAATAATTTTTCTTCCAATAATTTTTATTTATTTTTTTTAATTTTTTTATTTTTTTTTCTAATAAGACTAAATTTATTCAATACCCTAGAGTAAAAGTTTTGATTATAAGTATCCAACAGTATAAAAAGTACAAAACAGATCTGTAGATTTCTAATATATTAATACAAAGTGCATGACTACATACAGTACACCCTACAGGCAGAGAGTGGAGGGGAGAAGGCTGTGGTTGAGGTCTAGTAATAAATAAATAAATACAGAAGTAGAGATGATCCATCAAAGTATATTCTACCACCAATACTGCAGCCAAAATGTACAAAAAAAAAATCCCATGTCAAAGTAACGCCGGAGAATGGTAATGGCTGGACTCTGTACTATACCAGGGATGTGGAGAAAGGACCCACTCATTGGGTAGTCTGTGTATGTGGTAGCTTGTACTAGGTAGGTTTTTCCCAAAAGGAAGAAATACATAATGTAAAACTATAGGATGCCACAAACTGTGGCCTCTCCTTGTTGTGAAACTCTAAAAGACTTTAAAAATCCAGTTTCTAAAATAATCACGAGGAACAGAATACTAAGGCAGCCACGGACACCTCCTCTACGAGGTCTCAAGTGGCACTACTGTTTTTCCTGAACTTTGAGAAGAGGCAATTAGACAACTTCAGTTGGGTTCCACTGAGAAGCCAACGGAATCATTGAGATCTAGAGGTGTGGTGCTCTATTCAGCTATCATGTTGTTAAGAACACAACCCAACCAATCAACTTAGCCTCTTCTCTTCTAGTCAACTTTAAATAGTGGGAGGAAAACAATGAAACAACAAAACCCCAAACCCTAAATAAGGTCTATGACAAGGCAAAGAACTACTATATAGATAAAACCTCCACAAAGGTCAACTGAGGTAATCCAGAGCTAGAACTGAATCATGTGGACTTCAG